GCCGTTGGTCATATTTTCCCTTTGGAGCAAAGTTAACATGCTTAGAAAAGGAAACTGTCTTCATGGTGATATCTTCTTCGGTTTGGAATGTTTTGACTTGGTTATTGGCTTGGTTTGGTGGTTTAGAGCTCTTGGTATCTTCATAACATGCCAATGAATGTAAATGAGGCGTGGTGATATAAGATATGGTGGAAGTTTCCTTAAATGGTCTTGAAAACATGAATGTTGGTCTATTCATGTGATTTGGTGGTTCTGGTGGTTTGGCTTGGTCTTCTTGTGAATTAAACTGGCCCAGCCATGGTTTAGCTTGATCAGAACGTCCTCCTTGATACATAGAACGACAGTGTTTTGTTGTTAAGTCCTTATCTCCTTTGAAAACAGCTACATGTCTCCTTTGCTCCTTATATTCAAGCAAAACAGGTTCTAGCTCCTCTCCTTTGTGTTTCTTCTTGATATAAGCATTGATGCTTACATCACCTTCAAACTGCCTCGCATGTTCTTTCACGGGCTTAACCTCAGATGAGATAGTTAATTTGTATAGTCAGATGATTTTGTGTAAGCTGCCATATGAGGAATTAAAGGATTTGAAGTTGTTTTGCGATGGTAGTCAAAATTTTCAGAATATGTGTACTGCTGCATTGTGGACGAGGACTATTGAAGTTTACCTTGAGCATGAAAATACTCATACTCACATTAAAGTAGAAGAAATAGGAAACATAGATAACAATGGTGAAAATGATAGAATAATTGATAATGATGATGAAAGAAAAAACGCAAGGGGCAGTGATGAAGAAGATGTTGTAGATAAACTTAAGACATAATGATGTTAGTTGTCATGAGGGAGCACATGTTGAAGAGACTAGCTGGTTTTGTGAATGAGGAAAGGGAGAATGATGCTTAAAGAGATAATCCTCCTGTATAGAATAATGAAGAAGATTTGAATGAGATACCATGTGAGAAATGGAAAAGAGGATCTGCAGAGGTGAAGATTATGCATGAGTTTGAGAGTATTAAAAAGTTCATAGAAGCTGTGTTAGAGTATGCTTTGAATGGAGGATGGAACATCAAATACACAAGATGGGGGAATGAAAAAGGAGAGGAGAAGTATGCTGTAAAAGGTGAAATACCTTGTGAATGGAGAATCTATTGTTCTTTTGAAGAAGAAGCAGGACAATATATACTTAAGACGTATCAAGAAAAACATAGTTGTACTAAAGATGGGTATTGCAAGTTATTATCAGGAAAAGTTATTGCTAATATGTTCATAAACGAGTCGCTTATACTAAATCCTCTGATTATACAAATTAACTATTCCAGCTGATGTTAAGCCCGTGAATAGAGTATGCGAGGCAGTTTGAAGGTAATGTGTTTTTCCACCAACATAAGATAATTCTCCATCTAAAGTCTCAAACTTTTCATCATAGTTTATAATAAAAGAAATGTCATTATTCATGCTGAAACAATACAAGAAAAACATCAATTCCTGAAAATAACAAAAAACACTTCATTCAGGCATTTAATCGAACACCTACTGTGCATTCTAAATATTTTCTATCTATTCCACAAGATCTACAATAAACATGTTCACATCATCCTAATTCATCAATATGTTCAACAATTCTACTCAAATTCAACAATCCTACTCGAATTCAATAAATCATATACTCGAATCAATTCTTTCAGTCAATTCTTGCTAAGAAATTGAAACATTATTACCTCATTTCTCGAAGTGAAGGACTCCCACCACGACAAAACGGTTGATTAAACCTCCAAGTAAGTTTCAGTTTGTTTAATTTCACAAATTTAGCAATCACCCAAAACTTTTTGTACTTCCATCTCTCTTTTAAACTCTCTCCATAATGTATAATGGAGAGTCAAAGAAAGAAAACTTAAGTTTTTATTTTGGCAAATAGTTGAATTGACGTTGTTTTGCTACTTTTTTTTTTAGAATTTACTTGTCAAAAACGATGTCGTATTGGTATTACACAAAATCTAGATTTCAATTACGTGACTATATAACCACATCAACTTGAGTTACAGACAAATTATCTTTCGTTTATAATTGACTAACAGATCTATAGTCAAAGTATAAATTGACTATTTTTTAATTGTTTAAGTATGTAAATAAATATGTATTAAAGTATAAAGTTGCACATATTCAAAATATAAGAACGGAATGGAAATGTGACTAAATATTAAAGGTCAAAATTGACTGATTTCCACATAAATAAAAACAAACTACAAATTTACTCTCAAAAAATTTCATGTCATAATATATTTCTTTACCACCAAACTGGCTCTGAATCATTTTTAAAATTTAATGCTGATAATACCCATATTAACTATTATTTGAGAAGCATGTTTAATAAAAAAATCTGATGTGTCATCATCTTAGCAAATGTTAGTGTAAATTAATGGTGACATAGAAATGTGACATGGCAAATTTCCTAAAATAAACGAAATATTTTGATTGGTTGAATTATAATTAAAACATTATAAAATTATAACACAAATACACTAGATTATAAAACTAAAAAAAAATTAACAGAAAATACTAATTACTATGATTTTAATTTGTTTTTACATATATTCATAAGAAATTGCATAAAATATGATTATGAAAATTTTACAACCAATATATATTTTATATTTTTAAATAGAAAAATAATAATAGATTATCCAATAAGTTAGTATATACGCTATATATTAATAATGTTGGGAGTATGATATATTATCATTTGTATATAATGTTTTAAACATTTTTATATTACTGTTTTCTGGAATTTGCGTAGCTTACATTACCATCTCAAGATATCTTTTATCCTTTTTTAGATAAATTAAAAGTTTATATCATACTCATATACAATCTCATTGTAGATCGAGAATTTAATATCAGAAATAAAATGCAATATAACAGGATAAAAAAATAAATTATAAATAAGAAAAAACAAATATGAATAAGAAGTAGAAGTATAAAAAATCTCTACAGTTTTGTTTTTCCTTAACACTCTCAAACTTTGTTTTACGGAGTCATTTAAAAATTATAAGAAAGAAATTTTATAATAAACGCATATGTGACTCAAATTTTATAATGAATACATGCGTGCAGACCGACCATAAGAAATTTATTTTCTTCATCATACCAATTCCTCAATATTGGACAAAAAGATGAGCAGAGAACTACCGGAGAATTTTATAAAATATGATTTCACAGATTTTATAACAAATATTTATTATAAATTTTATTTGATATAAATAAACATATGAATAAGAAGTAGAAGTAAAAGTAAAAATAAATCTTTAAGACTTTGGTTTTCTGTAAAATTCTGAGGCTATATCTTTGGTTTAAAGCATCTCTCATCCACCTTTATTTTAAATCTTCAAATTTAGAGGAAAACTAACGATGTTATTTTTTCTTCTATAATAGGAGGAAAAAGTAACAATCTTTCTTTTTCTTTTAAAATAGAAATAGGTTGGAGAGGAATCAACTTATATTTAAGAGGAAAAAATAGAAAAAATACATTGGACATGATCTTAATGTTTAATATATTATTCAAAGTTAAGAAAAAAAAATATGAGTCAAAGAAGACAAAAAAAAATTTGATCGATTTTATGTTTTTATTTTGAAATATTTAATAATATTATCTTACACATATTAATTCTTTTATGCATATATTTTTTCAACATCTTAAAATATTATTTCATGTATATGTTATGATCTATTATATATAAAATTAGCACATATATCAAAGTTAGGAACAGAAAAACTCTTATTTTGTAATATAACAATTAGATATTAAATATATTAATTTACACCAACAACCATACACATATAAGTTTAGGATCCGACTGGTTTAAGCGCTGCGGTTACAGAGAGTTTGTGGATGGGAGCGATTTCAGGCTATAAAAAATTTGAGGAAGAGATGAACTGAGTACTACAGGAGAATTTTATAAAATAAGAATTCACAAATTTTTATTATAATTTTTATTGAGAATTCATATATCATAAAATGCTGAAAATAAGAAATTTTGATTAAATACGAAACAACAGAAACGGTTTTTGTGATTGTTGTTAAACGCCAAAAAGCTGTATTATGTAAAATCATAACGTTTGTGGAAAATATCAGAAAAACTAACCAACACCTAAACTTATACCTACATGCATAAATATACATATTTTTTTATAAAAAAAAAACCAATCATATATTATAAAAATATATATTACAAAACATATATTTTGATATTTTATTTTAAGACATAAAAGTTATACTTCAATTTTTTTTATAAGTATGCATCTAGATATAAATATTAACTGTGCAAAAATCAAAGTCACATGCAAACTTATCGTGCATATATTTTCTTAATCTCGATTAAAGTCTAATTTTAATTTTAGTTATTAGTCAATTTATATTTATTAAAAAAATCTATATATGTCCTAAGAGTGGTGAGGTGGTTGGTATGCACGAATGTGCGTACCAACCATCTACCTGCTCTTAGGATATAATTAGTGATGGTAAAACTCATTTTGGTTTATTTAGTAATATGTCAAGTAAAAATGTATACTTAAAATATATATATTGACAAGATTATATTGTGCAAAAGAAAAAAGAAATATAATATAGATAATATTTAAAATATATTATAAGAATCTGGGTTAACATTTTTTTATCTTCAATTTCTATTAAAATTTATAATATTTTTTATTTGATTTATTGTTATTTTAAATTATTAAATGTTTATATAATATTATTAATTTCTAATTAATTATATACAAATAAAACATATTTAATATAAAATATTAATTATATATTTAACATATAAAATATTTTATAGTCTGCACAACACTATATTTTAAAAAAATTCTTAAAATCCCTAAAATCAGTAAAAAAAATATTTAAAAATGTATTTGAGAGCCAAAGGTCCGAGCAATAAAAGCATGCCACGTTGTTGTCTCGATGCAATGAATTTTTGTCAAATTAAAAAAAAGTTGTAACGGCTAGCCACTGATTTCATTTTGAATTCTTCACCATCTTTTATTCTCCTTCCTTCATCTTCAACCTCGAAACCCTAGAAATTCCTCTGCGAAATCTTCTTTTTGCTTTTTTCTTGCCAAATCCAGTAAATTCTCTTCTATATCCGTTTCTTGTTTTGAGAGTGACGATGCAGAGCGAGATAATTGACGATTCAGGGCTTTCCACCGGAGAAACAGCAGAAACGAGAACGAGAATGAATCTATCTCAAGAAGTCGACGACTACATCAAAGACACAATTGATCACTCCTTAGGGCTTCCGATCTCCATGGAAGCTCTCGAGAAAAAGCTGTATACAGCTGAAGAATCCCAACGACGTCTCCGAGACAAGTATCTCGCTCTTGTTTCTCGACTAAAGGAGAAAGACCATGTTATTGATCGAGTTAGGGTTAGTAATTCGCACTGAATCTCTTTTTTTTTTCTGGGTTCTGAGAGATTGACGGAAATCTGATCTTGTTTTTCCCCAATTTCAGTCCGAAACGAGTATGAATGCGCAGGCGTTGAAGAAATTCGTTGACGAGAACCAGAAATTGGCTGCTGAGTGTGGGAATTTGTTGGGTCAGTGTAAGAAATGGGAAAGAGAGTGTTTGCTTTATCATCAAGATCGCGACGCATTGATGGAATTCGGGAATGAATCTGATGAGAGGGCTAGAGAAGCAGAAGCTAGGGTTCGTGAATTGGAAGATGAAATAGGAAGAATGTCTGAGGAATTGCAGATTTTCAAGCGTCAAATTGGGACTAGCGAAGTAAGATTTCGTTTTTTAGTTACCAATTGGGACTAGCGAAGTCAAATTGGGACTAGCGAAGTAAATTATCTTGATTTTGGCATTTGCAGATCCATCAATTGGTTAGGCTGTTCTTGATGAATTGGGTTTCCAAGTGGTTATTGTCTTCTATATTAAGTTGGCTTTGAGATTTCTCATACTGACTATGAAACTTGTCTTCATAAGTCCATCCATTTTCGTTTTTATTGGGAGAAAGTCTTAAAATTTGTAGATGTGATCTGATTGATGCATTTGAAAGAGACGCTTCAGTTACCCATTTGGTTCTTGATGAATTGGTTTCTTAAGTTGGTTTTGTGATATCTTACAGTGTGTATGAAACTTTGTCTTCTCATTGATTCATAAGTCCATTTGGTTAGGCTGTTCTTGATGAATACGTTTCTGCCATTGTCTTCTCTGTTAAGTTCGTTATATGATTTCTCATAGTGTGTATGAAATTTTGTCTTCTCATCGATTCATAAGTCCATTTGGTTAGCCATTTCTTGATGAATTTGGTTTCTGTTATTATCTTCTCTGTTACGTTGGTTTTTGTGATTTATCATAGAGTGTATGAAACTTCTCTTCTCATTGATTTATAAGTCCATCCACTTTCGTGTTGATTCGCAGAAAGTCTTGAAACTTGTAGATTTGATTCACTAGAAAGAGGCACTTTAGTTACCCTTTTGGTGAGGCTGTTCTTGATGAATTGGTTTCTCAAATGCTTTTGTCTTCTCTATCAAATTAGCATTGCGATTTCTCATAAACTGTCTTTCCTCATTGATTCATCAGTCAATCCCTTTTGTGTCGCCTCGATGAAAGTCTTAAAATTGTAGATATAATCTCACTGATGCACTTGAAAGCTAGTTTAATCATTGTTATCGATTTATTATCAGTTAGATTTGGATGTCAAATGGGTTTCTCACTTGTGCACTATTGTTGTGTTGTGTACGATGCTTGAGAGATTTATCTTTCTGTATCCTTGTTGAGGGTTGGTTTATGTTACTGATACGATGTGTAGCAATTTGTGTCATGCATAGATATCTGTTAGTGTCAACATTCTAGTCAGAACTAACACATTGTTCGTTTGTGTTCTTTTTCGAACTTACAGATGTATGCATTTTCATTTTTCCTCTGTAGGTTGAGAAGTGCACACCATTAGAAGAAGATTTGCTTGATTCAGTTTTGGGATCACTCATAAGCAAAGAAGAAACTATATTGGGGCGTCTCTTCTTAGAGGCAAACATTCAAGACCAATCATGCCAAACTTTGTTGAGCAAGTGGGATCACTTAAGGCCTTCAACGCAAAAGGCTCTTGCTTTAGTTTCAAGGGCAAAGAAATTTCAACAAGAAAGAGAATGCATTATCATGAATCTCGCTAAAGCCGAGCAAGAGGTAATAATAATAAACCACAACACTCGGTCTTTTGTTCTTGTTCTGAAAATCTTTCCACTAAACACATAAACTTTAAACAGGCAGAGCTTGTGAGCACGCAAAACCGAAAGCTGGATAAAGAAAACCGTAAGCTGCTAAGGCAACAACAAAGCCCTCTTGGTTCTGCAGAGACAAGCCGCAAAAGCGCATCTGCCAAGGTAAAAGCCACAAAAATGAAATGGAGCTATGGATTCTCTTGAACAGCTATATGGACTCTGTTCGATCTGGCTTAAGAGATGGTTTTATGTTTTACAGTCAAACAAGAGAAAGAGTCCGAAGATGATGAGCAGCCCCCTCGAGAAGAAGCTTGAGTTTAGCAGCAGTCCGGAAATTAGCAGGAAGCCTCTTTCACCTGTGTGGAATAACTAGGTTGAACAAGAAGTGATGATAAATGAATCAAACATGTGTCTCTGTATTATCCATGTGTGTGTCTTTGTAGGAAGGAGAAACCAGATTCAGATTATTACATCGTCGCTTCACTGAAGCTACTTACCAACATGTATTGCTACAAAAGTATGACCAGAAAAGCATGTTTCTAACTAATGATAAGCTTCTACAAGAAAAATGTGAAGCCTCATAGAAGGTGAAATCATTTATAGAAAAAGTGATATCATGTTATTCGGGTTTATGAAATATTGATTTGGTTGGGTTTCGTATTTGGTTTGATATAAATTTTGAAAAATAACGTGAAACTAGGTGTCTCCTCCGTGCCATGCGCAGACTAATTTTCATAATAAATTATTGTTCTGAATAATATTAGATAGGTTCATAAATACCACGAAACAGAATGAAGTAGTTCTATAATTCGAGTAACATATTTTGAAACAAAAATGGGGAACATGCATTCTCATTACTGTTCATTCGATACAGATTTTGCAGTTGATGCTTCTTCACCACATCGTAACCTACAGTAAAAAATAGTGATATGTATAAACATTTAAATAGTAGTAAACTAAACTGTTTTATTCAGCTTAATGCGTTGTTACCTATCTCGGAAACGATGAACATCAGGAACATCGGCATTGAAATAGAACTCACAATATTTCTTTATTGCAATAACATTTATAATACCTAAACCAAAAGAAAATAAGATCACAAGACTACACAAACGAACCAACAAACATAATTTGGTGTATTATATTATTCATAATACCTTCATATTGTTTGTTGATGTACCACCACCTCAACACACAAATAACTTCTTCATCACAGTTCTGAGACCATTTCAAGGCAAACTCTTCAGCTAGTTGTCCTATCGTGTAACATTCAATTACACGTTTCCTATTAAAAGAAGCGTTATAGAATATCAATTAATCGTTAATACGATGTGAAAAAATAAGAAACTTACTTGTCATCTTGCAGATCAAAAGGGATCATAGCGTAATCATCTTGTATTTTACCCTCATCAAAAATCTCTAACTCTCCGACATTTTTAAGAACACCAATTAAATCTAGTAAACAACAATACAAAATAACAAAACTCTTATTGCATTCCTTTAGTCAAAAAAAAAAACCCAATAATATTCACTGTATAAAAATTTTACCGATAGCATAAGTGGCATCCATTCGACTTCCAATAACATCCCCAAAATCAACCAATTTCAACAATAAACCATCTTCGGGACCAGACACAGAAATAAATCTAGTGTTAGTAACAAACTTCAGCTTGAAAGGATGCCTTGCTATACGAATGAAAGCATTGGAAGTTTTAACTACAAAACCACTTAAGAGCTCCCACTTTCCTTCGATAAGGTCGTCTTCAAACAAATGAAGGTATTTGTTTCCAATCGAAGCTTGTATCATCGACCCATATAAACACTTTAGTCATTACAATTGTACATAAATAAAACATAAGAAACAAGAATCAAATTTAGAGCAAGGGTGAATGAACTTATATGCATGTCAACGAAGATCATCTTTAATTTAGGCCGACGGTTCCTATCTTTGGCACGCCATTTCTTTAACAGTTTTTATTTCAACAGATGGATCGACAACACAAGCGTCTATCTCAGAGACATTCAAGAACCCCATCGCAATAGAAACGCCAAAACAACCAAATTCTAAACTAAAAACACTCGTTAAATGAAACAAGAAGCATAGAGTGTATCGACAATTACAATATTAATATTTAGTTCTCTTGGTCGTAGTGTCGATGCTGATTAGCTATATATATAAGCAAACAGTTCCCTGCAAAATTATTTTTAAATAATAAAAGGTAGATATGTTTCATATATACAAAAACCAATATATAATAATTAGTTCATAAATATAATCAGAATAATAAACATGCAATAATAACCAAAACCGAGACTAAGGACCAAACCAAAACGACGAAAACCCATAACCAAAACAAACCCAAAGCCCAAAACAGTCTCAAAGCAATTTCAATGTGCAGAATAAAACCAAAAACCTAAATGTTCTCAAACACTTCCTTGTAGATAACGTTAAGAGTACGTTTCTTTGGTTTTCCAGCTTCGTCAGTTACCAAGATCTTCAAACTGGCGCGTGATGTTACTCTGGAGACAGCGACGTATAGCTGACCATGGGAAAACACCGGTCTTGGTAAAAAAATACTAACTTTTTGTAAAGTCTGACCCTGACTCTTATTTATAGTCATCGCAAGAGCAACAGCAACAGGAAACTGTTGACGACGCATCCTGAATGGAAACCTAGTCTCAGATGGCGAAACAAACATCCTTGAAATCAATACTTTCTGTCCAACCCTATCCCCTGTGATAAGTTTAGCTTCAATCACATGCGCAGCGAGCTGCGTTACAAGTAACCTCGTTCCGTTGCACAAACCACCACGAGGATCAATATTCCTTAGCAACATAATAGGAGTCCCTATCTTCAGCTTTAGATCATGATTGGGCAAACCAGAAACTTTTATGCTATTGAGATATTCTTGGGTGTAAACCATATCGTCATTTTTACTTGTGTCCGACGTATCAATACTATCCGAACTAAGGTATGAATGCTCATCGCCTATAACAAAATAATAAACGAAATTAATCGATAACACATTAACTAAACCAAACTATATAGGAAACAATAAATGTTACCTATTACGCGAGATAACATATACTCGTTTATAACATCGACGTCAGAATTTCTCGGACTCAAAATAGCTCGCCCCTGAAAAAACAATGGATCTCTCTCTCTTGAATACGAATGGCCATACACTTCTAGGACAATTTTCTCCATAGGATCTCCACTCCCGGTTATCAGCAAATCATCTGGTATATCTATCTCAACCTCTCCAGTGTTAGGTTCGTTGATCTTTCCGTCGCCTATAGCAAGTATCCATTTTGAAAAAGACTCCAGTTCCTTGGCATTATTTGCAACAACACCGCGAAGAAGGCGCATATTCGTGGTAAGCTTCAAGACCGTACAATTGCTCCACAACGCCGAAGAGTTCAGAGAGGACATGACGGTTTCAGCTCGATTACCACCAACAATCACAGGCAATATCTGTCTAAAATCTCCACCGAACACAATAACTTTACCACCAAACACTCCATCACATTTCAAAATATCTCTCATTGTTCTATCCAATGTCTCAAAACAAGGTTTGCTCATCATCGGCGCCTCATCCCAAATAATCAGTTTGGCTTCCTTGATCAATTCCGCCTGACGTGATCCTGCAATAATTGAACATGTTGTAAACTCGTTAACAGCGATTGGAATGCCAAACCTAGAATGAGCAGTCCTCCCTCCTTGAAGCAACAAAGAGGCAATCCCACTCGATGCCACGTTTAAGACGATGTCACCTCTAGAGCGAATATCAGATCCCAATACACTCCACAAAAACATTTTGCCAGTACCACCAAAACCGCAAACAAAAAACATACCACCCTCGTCACGATCAACAGCGTATATAATCTTGTTGTAAACCATTTTCTGTTCATCTGTTATGGTTGCCAGTAACCTTGTATGCTCAGCCTTGAGTTGATCTCTATTATAACTGCGCTCATCCATTAAAAGATAATTGACAGTCTTATCCATGTCATCGTCCACAGCATGAGGCATCTTATCGTAATTGGTCAACGAATTCCCATTTCGACGAAGGTATTTCTCTATTTTGAAAAGTGCACACATCTTCGGATCATCATCGGTCATAGTAAAATCTACACAACACGAAACAAATATCAGTCCATATTCACTGATTCAGCATTACAATGATATAAGTAAATCAAAGAAACGATTTACTTGGGTTATCTGATTTTTTCTTGAGCATATATAATATATCCTCGCTCAGGATATGCCATGTCTTGTTCCACACGTTAACAGGCTCAAAAATGCTATTAGACAGCAACATAATAGCAAACAACCTACGCAAATATTTCCCTGAGCCCCAAAAACTTGCTTCTTCGATAGCCAAAATATACTCTTTATCATCGTCCAACAATCCCAAGGCGTAGCAAGCTTCCTTGTACGAATCGTAAACAACACCTCTAACTGTTCGTATATCCTCATAACTCTTCGGGCATTTAACAATGTTCAGCAAAACACGCATGTAGTAACACTGAACATAATTGGGAGGAATGTACATAATTCTTCCAATGGCAAAGCCTCGTTCGCGTAACTTCCACTCCCTAGTCCTCTGTACCCAAACGAACTTTGTCGGGAAATCAGCATAAGTCAACTCTTCTGCCTCCGGGAATTTACTATTTGCTTCCATCCAAGCCATAAACTTAGACCGAGTCATAGACGCACGATTTATAACATCATCTATAGAATCATCTTCGTTATAAACAGCCATTTGCTGTCCCGATAAGTGGAATGAGAGATTGACAACAGTAGTCGAACGAAAATGAGTTGGGAAAGCTAATATTCTCCAGGTTGCTTAGCATGCTGACATATATCTGAAAAAGGAAAAAAATCTCAATAACATATCACATGCACAGGGAAATTGTCTAAATTCCATTATGTAAACAAACAGTAAAACACGTAATTAATACAGACAAACTTGCAGTTGAGGAACTTTTTTACTTCATTATCAACAATATCATCTTGTTCAACAGAAGCACCAACATAATCAGGACCCTTGGTAATATACTTAAATAGATACTTGATTGACCTCGTTTGGTTGCACCATTCAACATTTATATGGGCTCGGAAACGCCTCAGAAGGTCCTTATTGTATGGAACCACATATCTATTGTCACAATCAAACCCCTTTTTGCGGATAGTTCTATCATCACTTCCACGCTTGTAAATAGGAAAGCCACCATCATCAATTTTTGTTATCGCGCTATAAGGCTTGGGAAAAAACTAAGTACATTTACCTTGATTCATGCACACATTAGTTTTGTTGACCTCCCCACACGGACCATGTATCATCAAGTCACCAACAACCTCGTATAAATACGGTTCCAATTCTTTATCAGGTATCTCAGCAGAAATAAACCTGTCGATATCATCCCTAGTCGGTAGTTTTGAATCTGGATGCAGAAACAGCACCATATGGGCATGGAGTAAACCTCTTTTCTGGAACTCAATGGTATAAATTGCTACAAAACAACAAAATCAACACTGTAAATACATCGAGTTAAGCATCTACCAGTTTTTATTATGAGAGTTTAGTCCATAATTAATAAAATACCTGAATTCACACGGCCCAAAGCACCATCATTTGTCAAGTAATCCACGAGATTATCAAGTTTAATTTTAAACACACGACAAC